GGAACAGCCAAACAAGAGCGGATGAGATTCAGTGATTGAAACTGTCATTGTTACAGTTTTTGAACATCCTTTTCATAACCGTTCTGCATTTTAAACTTTGCAAATTTCTAACAGTTATTTTGCTGGAATGTATTTTCCTGTCGTCATCGCGTTATAAACTTCTCAACGTATCACTGCGATTTAAAATAATCCACTCCTCAAAATTTTCAGTCACTATTCCATCTAAATAATCAAAACTAATCAATTAAATTACTAACAAATCAAACGAATCGGCGAGAATCTCAATGAAATCTGAAAAAGAAATAATAATATGGCACACATTAGCACATCTTGAGAATGAGAGTGCCATTGAGATATTGTCTGTAAATAAGCACGATGACGATTTCGTTGAACTGTTAACGAAAACGCAACAAGCCATCGAAGCGGGTGTTAATCCAACGCTGATCACTACTGGTAGTTCTGGTTAGTTGTTAATGCTCTTGTATTGTTATTACCATTTTATGTTTTATTAATCGTAAGCCGACTGCAAATCTGGTGTCGACACCTGATCGATGGCATAATATTGTAATTGCGATTAGTGATATCTCTATTCCCGTTAAACTATTTTATTCCTGTTCTATTACAGGGATTAGAACAATGAAGAGCGCACAGGATAGAATAGAATAGAGCCGTTTTGGAACGGAATAGAACAGTTAAAAAAAAACGTGGAATAGAGACATCACTAATTGACACCTACATGAGGGATTAGTTGAATGTATCAATAAATTAATAAGTAAATGGTATTAATTGAAGGATCGTATTTTGTGCGCAATAAAGACGGTGAGAATATTGGTGTGTTTAAACCACGCGATGAAGAGCCGTTCGCAGAACACAACCCGAAATGGCCGAAGTACTTACAACGATTTTTGTGTTTTTGTTGTTTTGGTCGTGCATGTCTCATACCGAAAAGTGGTTTCCTTTCTGAAGCTGGTGCATCACTCGTCGACGAACGACTTCAGGTTGTTTTCACTTACTTCTTCGCATTTGTTAGCTCAAGTCTCTGGAACAAACCCCTTCAAATATCAATTATTGTGATATATAAATCGTATTGCTATGCGTTTGTCTATCGAAAATCGCACGACATCAAGAAATTCTTATTAGACGACGGATGACGGCAAATATTGCAAGGCGCAGCAGAACAGCTTTTTTACTGTTCGTTCAGCATGAAATATGTAGACTCATTCCATTCAATGAAATATGAGAAAACATTTGAATTGTTCTAGTTGTGATTGCTTGAAGTGTTGAATTTTTAAATAGCCAAACGCATAGCTCAATTTTTTGTGATATTTCGTTGAAAATTTTTCAAATATGCTCGAAAATTTTCAGTTGAATATCGTACCAAAAACGCGTATTATTCGAATGGCATCACCATCATTCTTCTATCCAAAAAGGTTGTGCGGACGTGATGAAGTTCGCCCTAAAATTGGCAGTTATCAGGTGAATCAACACTCTCACGTTTCCGTTCGAAATCGCTTTGAAAGAACCTGCTGAATAGCGCTGCATAGTGGGTTTATAGTGAAAATGCCACTGCAAAAAGTTAATTTATTCCGTCATGGTGAGAGCTGAGATGCCATGAATGCAACAATTGAATCCACCTCGGTTCCACGTTCGGGTGGTGATCTTAGGTTTTACATTCCCGACATGAACATTTGGAACGAGCTTCCTTTATGGTTTACGTACAATGTCCAGTGTTACCTGGGGACTGATACGATTGCGTTATATTTAGGAGAAACCATTTCTATTGATATTATTCAACGTTTATTCGTAACACGTTCACAAATGTAGGTGTTTGTGCACGGATATAAGCCAGCGATTGAAATCGCATCAGAATGGATTAACGATGACGTACGATCACCG